TAAAGCAGCAGTTACTAGAAGGGCTGACCGACAATAATGACGACATGATGATGACTTTGAATGTCATCATGACGGTCGAAACTGTCAACAACGAACAAAAAGGCATTGATTGTCCCTCCTATAAGTAGTATCGAGCTCAGCTGTAAGAGGAGACATCTCATTCGAATTACACATAAAATCACACTCTATTTTGCTCATTAGCATCTTTCTTGTTGTTCTTGTCATCTTCTTTACCGTTCTTGTTACGAGACCCAATCAATATACAATTTCCACTTTAATTAGTTTTAGCTTGTCAAAATTTTGCTAAAACACTCTTCAGTTTATTCCCATCATTCAGTAGTGGCTTAATGACATTTGTATGACTTCTAACCCTACCTGCCTTAACTAGTCTGTGTGTTATGTTCTTGGACAATCCTAAGGCCATACCCAGAGACCTGATGGTTGTTATTTTGTGTAAAGGGATGCCTAGAATTAAATCATCATCATAGTGTATGCTTTTCCTTCCTTCTTTACCTGCCATCTGGCTTTGCACATCTATAGGCATCTCCATCTGTATTTACTTCTTTGCTCTGTTCCAGATTCTGCTTATTGTTCTTGTTGTGACATTGAACTCCACAACAAGTTTGCTGATTAAGCCTCTCTAAATCTGAGTAATGGTTGTACCACTACCTTTTTTTAATGTCATACCAAGTTTCTGGACTATCATGTCCCTTTCTGCTGTACTCAGATGTTTCCTTCTCTTGCCTTGCTCATTTGCATTTATTTCATGAATAGGAGGCTCATGTGCATTGAATAACACAATTTCCAATTTCTTGGTTATTTGTAGTATGAAGTGTTTCAGATTCCATGTGGAAAGGTCTTCCACACGTGAGGGGAGAAGGAGGTAGAAGATAAATAAAGGCATGTTGAAGACATAAAGCCTTCCTTGGACTGTTATGTAGAGTAATGTAGTGTAGTGGAAAGTTTTTAAAAAATTGGGGGAAAGTCAAAATTTCCCTCCATTTTGTATCTTAACTTTGATTGGCTGAATTTTCCCATTTTTGTTCGGTCCTATAATGTAGCACCGAATGTATGGATTGTAGTGGGAGTTGTAAAATTAAAGCAATCATTGCTTCTTTTTCTTTATACTGAACGGCCTATACCTACGCCGGTTACAACCCATCCCCAGTTTTAAAAGCAAGGGCATTAAAAGTTTGCTTTAAAAAATTCGCTTTTCTTAATAACCGTGAAAAGTCAAACCAGACACTTTTTTCGGGACAGAGAGAGTACTAAATAGATGAGAATACACGTTATACACGTTATAATGGACTAAATAAGCGATTTTCCATTAGTAGACTAAAAAATCTCAACGGAAACAAATCCAATTAAAACAGTATAGTTTTATGGATTATTTTTAAATGGAAAGAAATTTTGTAGTCTAGCATGATCTGTTTAAGTTTGTTCTGATCTAATCGGGTCTGATAGGTGAGTATTTGACTATTTTATCACTATCAAAGTCTGGTCTTGTCTAATTCATTAATTTTGTTCTGATTTGTCTAAGTTTAAATTGATCTCGATATTGTCAAATCTTACCTAAGGATGTTTTCTTTTGGACTAGTTTCAGTCCCACATCAGACTAGATCAGACTTGACCAGACCTAAGCAGATCAGACCAGACTTGAAAAGTTATAAAATACACAAAATTGAACATTTACCAGATTAGACCAGTGCAGATCAGACTAGACCATGCCAAATTTAAACAGATTAGATCAGCAAATTTCCATCCTAAGAAAACATCCTGAAATTAATTGAAATAAAAAAACATCCTAAATCATAAGAGCACCCACTATGGTGGGTTAAATGAGGATTAAAAAAATTTAATCCCACTTGATCCCCCACTATGAGAGATCACAAAGTGAAGGATCAAGAATGAAGGTCACAAATGGGGAGTTCCTATATTATACAGCCGGATGTATATACAACCAGTTTTTTTTTGTAATTTGTTTGGTCTATTTCATACGGAGTACTTTGTTCTTCCAAAACTTCTTCTACTGCCCATCCAATGACGCCTTTCTCTACAGTCTGCCGGTGCCTGAATCTCTCGCCCCAGCCACCGACTTTATGTTGCAGCTGCTGCGCTTGCTTGTGGAGTGCGAAAATGATATGCGCTTGTGGATAATTTTTCATCTTTCTCTGAACATGCGTCCAGCTACGGCGGCATATTGACTAAAGCTAGAAAGCTTTTTAATTCTCAGTTCCTTCAATTTCTTATTCTAATTCTCATAACAAAAAAAGTTCTAAAACTGGAATGTGGTCCAAATATAAAAGCATACCAAGTTACTAATATAGTACTCCGTATATTCTTTTTATTACTTTTTATTATGAATCTAACATTGATCATCCCAATATCTGATTCATATCTTTTAATTTACACTTTTTCCTTATTTTTTCTTTTACAAAAATTTTTTAAATTGTATTTACGATACATCTTGTGAATTTCAATATGCGAATTCAATGTGATATTACACTTTTGAAGCATTTATTGATTTAAAAATCGCAAACTCTGTTATTCGAGTATCAAGACATTTTCATTGAGCATCAAACTATCTTTATTAAACATACGAACTCTACAATTGAGTATACAAAATTTCAAAACTTGATATCTTAGCAAGACATTTTCATTAAATATCATATTTTCTCTTTTTGAGTATCATTATGATGTGTATTGAGTATTATAAGTCCCAAATGAGCAATAGTGTACTTTTAGTGAGCATCCGACCTATTTTATTGAGTATTAGGAGGCTAACAATGAATATTATGATATTTGCTTCATATATCCTAATTCAATTTTTATCTTATTTTTGCTTTTGTAAAAACTTATTAAATTGTATCCATAATACACTCCTATAAATTTCAATATGTGAATTTTATGTAATATGATACTTTTGAAATATACATTGATATGACATTTTAAAATGAGCATAACATCAGTACCGAATGAGCATACGTAACTTATAAAATGTTCATTGATATGAAAATTGTAAGGTTTGTTAATTTAACATGATGACATTTTCATTGAGCATCAAACCTCCTATATTGAGATGAAAATCATGATTTCTGTTAAATGAGCATTAATGAACTTTTAATGTGCATCACACATATTATATTGAGTATTAGGAGTCTAATATTGAGCATCATGCATGATCCCTGCTTCATAAATTCTAATTCACTTTATTTTTGTCATTTCTTCTTTTATAAAAAATTATTCAATTATATTTGTGATCAACTCCTATCAATTTCAATATGCAAATATAATGTAATTTAATACTTTTTGAAACATGCATTATATAACATTCTAAAATGAGCATAACATTAGTATCAAATGAACATACATAACTTACAAAATGAGCATTAATATGAAATCTGTAAGTTTTGTTAGTTAAGTATCGAGACATTTTTAGTGAGCATCAAACCCCGGCTATTGAGTGTTAATTAGAATCGTGCGATTGCGTATCATGATTTGTGCTCTCGTGTCTATAATCACAACCAAAAAACGACGACATTTTAATAATTTAAACGAAACTCGCGATTTTTGCTAAATGAGCAGTATTGCACTTTTAGTGAGCATTAGACTTATTTTGTTGAGTATTGAAAGCCTAACAATGAGCATCTTAATTGATACTTGCTTCATACTATCTATTTTTTAATTCACTTTTTTTCTTTTTATTTCTTCTTTTATAAAAACCTACGGAGTATTAAACTATATCTATAGAACCTATACTCAATTCTTATGAATTTCAATATGCAAATCTAATGTAATATACTAATATGGTACTTTTGAAATATGCATTGATATAAAATTTTAAAAATGAGCATAACATCAATATCAAATGAGCATACGTACTTTACAAAATGAGTATTATAACAATATCAAATGAGCATACGTAATTTACAAAATAAGTATTATAACAATATCAAATGAGCATACATACTTATGAAATGAGCATCGAAAAATTCAGAAGGCTCATTTAAAATCTCTAGTATGCTCGAATATTAAATGAGAATATATAACTTATGAAATGAGCAACAGAAAATATAAATTGAGCATTACGCCAATATCAAATGAATATTACACCAATATCAAATAAACATTACGCCAATACGAAATGAACAGTGAAAATTTTAAAAAGCTCATTTGAAATTTCTAGTATGCTCAAATATCAGTTTGTGTATGTTCATCTCAAGATAACATAAAGAAGCATCAATTCCTTATTTCAGACTAACCAATTTTATTGTGCTTATTTTCAAATAAAGTTAGAGGAGCAGAGACAAAAGGCATATATAAAAATAGAAAACTTAATCAGAAAAAGAAAAGTTAAAGTTAGAAAATTTGAAGTTCAAAATTATAGGAAAAGAGAAGAGTTAAAAAAAAGTTAAAGTTAGAGGAATTGAAGTTCAAAATTAAAAGATAAGAAAAAAAGAGAAAATAGAAGCAAAAATAAAAGAAAGTAAAATACGAGAAGCAACGAAAGAAGATAAAGAAGCGACGGCTTTGCTGAAGCGACGGCTTTTCTCCTTCACAAGGTGGCCATAGGAATCAGTTCAGATGCTCCAACTACAAAACAGAAGATGATAATGATGTTCCAGCTCAGACTATTAGGCACTACAAAAATGCCGGGGACTGGGAGAAGTAAAGGAAAATCAACATTCAAAGTGTTAATAATTGCAAAAATACCCGGTTGTACGGTGAGGACCGTACAACCGGGTGTACGGTATATTTTGCGACAAATGGGAGCTGACATGTGCTTTGTGACCAACCAATTAGAAAAATTCAAATGGCATTTTACTTTGAATCAACCACATCAACTACTCTCAACTCCCTAATTTAATTTATTATGCATTAAATTTAATTTATAATAATAAAAAAATTATATCACAAATTAGATTTTTTCCCTTGACAATTTATAAAGAAAATTAGATTTTTTTTCCTCTTTTGAACCAAACCACAATCTTTCCTTGTAGATCACATTGTTTCACTGCCTCAACTAAACAAGCGGCAACAGCAGCTATGGCTTCCCTGCGGTTCCCACTCTTGTTTTCTCAGCCACCGAGTCAACCCTCCCGCTCCTTCTACCAAACCGCCGCCGCATATTCCGCTGCCGCTGCTCTCGGCGGTACGGTTGCAATCTTGCAGATCACTCACAACAACCCACTGAATTTCTCACGCAACAAAATGCCCTCCTGCCGGGTCTGGGGCTCCCTTTCCCTCTCTGGTAGCTCGGACCCTGTCACGGAATCGAGGACCGGTATGTCATTCCCTTCCGTTCTGAAAGACTCTCAGCGACTTCTCGGAATTGGGTTGAGGAAGAAGGCCTTTCTGGGGTTGAAGAACATCGATGTATATGCTTTTGGTACGGCATTGTTATGATTCCTATATTTCTTTACTTCTTCTTTCGTATAGCTCTCTTTTTCTGTAGGCATCTCTTGCTAGAGGAATAGAAACTTAATAGTGCTCAACTTTTAGCACCATCATTTCAGCTCTTCCCAGCTGAATGGGATTGAAGTTCTCAAGTGATGTTAACTATATTATCATTATTATCTCCAGTATTCTAATGGGGACATAAGTACTTTGGAATTACATTTCAGTGTTTTTTAAGAAAATATTTAATGAGAGTAGTGATCCTCCTAATTTTGGATTTGTTTAGATACTTATGGGTATTTCTGGAAATGTTTTGGTATTTTTAATATTTATATATTTATTGACACTATTCAGGATTCTGTTTGAGATCATTTTAGACAATTTTTATTACCACTTCAAGTTATATGTTCATCTTTACATTTATCCGGTAAAATATTTAGCATGTTTTCAATTGGATGAATTTTCTGATCTGATATAGTAGGTCTGATCTTTTTAAGTCTATATAGTCAGGTCCGGTAAGTGTTTGATTTACGTGTATTTTATTATTGTGTAAATCTTATCTGATATGTGCTGAGATTGAAATCAGAAAAAACATCTTTATCCGGTATCATGTTTTTTTCAAGTGTGAAATTTAGTGGAGAGCAGAATTCAATTAAAAATGATTAGCTGATGAATCTCCTAATAAATTTGTTCCCAACTAATTAAATAATACTTGCTAGTACATGTAAACCAATAATAAAAAGCATCATTCGTCCCATTAAAGTTAGAGACATTAGGGTGTGGTGTGGTTATTAAGAAAAGATGGTTCATGTGGTTAATATTAATTGATAAAATCGGAATAAAGAACACAATAGTACCACACATATATTAACATGTCTGGTGTGAGAAAAATTTAATGAGACGGCCGAAAAACGGGAGATAGGACAAACATATTTGGACTGAGGGAGTACTTAAAAAATCGGTATCGATAATACCAGCCATTTGAATATAGAACAAATGTGATACATGAAGGCATACAATTTGTTTTTAAATGAAGTTCTTTTTAATGATTTTATATAAGTTTGTGGTTGGTTAAATGATCAAATCTGTAGTTGGAAAGTTGCTCGATATCCCATCTATGATCTACTCCCTCCGTCCCTGAATTTACTTCTGTAGTACAAATGGCACACGGATTAAGAAAGTGGGAATTGTGTGGTGGAAAGTTGTGCAGAAGAGAGAGAAATGTGTAAAAATTGTTGTGAACCACAAATTCTTTGCCAAAAAGGGAAAATGAAGTTATTTTTGGGACGAATGAAAAGGAAAAGGTGGAAGTATTTTTAGAGACGGAGGGATTATTATAGATTCAAATAGTCAGTATTATTGAAAGTGATTTGTGAAGTACATATTAGAGGCCTACGAGTATTGTTGTTATTTAAAATTATTTCCCATAAAATCATAAATTTCAGTCATAATTTGACCTAATTTGGAGTTGGGACTGTGGTATTACACATGTAGGGGTGTATGCCAATGATGATGATGTACAGAACATCCTCAAAGAGAAATATGATACACTTTCTGGTTCTGAGTTTAAGGAAAAGGAGTTGAAGGATGAGCTCATGGACAAGGACATACGCACTACTGTTAGACTGCAGATAGTATATGGAAGACTAAACATCCGGTCTGTGCGCAGTGCATTTGAGGAGTCTGTTGGAAGCAGGCTACAAAAGTTTGGTGGCTCTGATAACAAAGAATTGCTTCAAAGGTATATACTTTTTGCAGTCCGGTGTTGCAATGCTTTGAGAGTTTGAGGAATGTCCTTTTCTGTGTGTAAATATTTGGACTTGTATGAATGAGGAGCCTTTTACACTTTATTGTGTACTCATCTTTGAATTTTTCCAACTGTGGTCACACAAAGCACTCTTGTTACCCATCATTGTATTTTTCCACTTATAATCATCTAATTAATGATTATGATAGTGACACTTAGTCGTTCACTTATTGAAGCAACTTGAAAAATGAGTTCCAAAAGTGTCACTAGAACAACAAGATGACTAAAAGATGGCTGGCAAAGATAACGTGGAATAAAGTATAGGAGAAATCTGGAAGAAAATACATGTTGAGGAAGAGTATATTTGTTCTAACTCTTCAAACACAATAAATTTATTTTTAGTATTTGTTTGAATTCTTTTTATTTATCCATATGTGTAGTACTAAGCAGCCTAGACATATTTAAAAATAATAAAAATATTAGTTATTTTTTTTGTTTTACTTTGCATTTCATAGGTAAATCTAAGCATAAAGAAAAAACTTAGAACTTTCTTTCGTTTCGTTAGCATTTTACGAGATCCAAATATAACCTAATGGCCAAAGTACCAATCTTTTTTGCAGGTTCACTTCCCAGTTCAGAGATGAAATAAAGATACCTCGTGGAGCTGTCATAGAACTCTCAAGGGAGCCAGGCTATGTACTTCAGACCACAAGTAAGATTGTTATATACAGTTATATTGTTATTTTTTTTAACAACAACAACAATCAAGCTTTAGTCCCAAAAGATTTTGAGGTCGGCTAACACGAATCAATACATGATATCGGTGACAAAAAGAAAAGAAAGATAAAAAATGTAAATTGATAAGGTATGATAAAAAATAAATAAAAGGATACAATAAAGATAAATACTCCCTCCGTTCTTTAATAAAAGTCCTTCTTTCCTTTTTGGGACGTTTTTTTTTATTTGTCCCCCTTTCCATTTAAGGAAAGTTTTTACTTTAAATATACCTTTATACCCCCACTTTTATTACCATTACCCCTTTCTTTCCTACTTTTTCATTTACCCACTACTCATTACACCTTTTACACTACCCCTACTATTTTCCTTTTAAAACCCGTGCCAAAGCCTAAGAGGACAGATAATAAAGAACGGAGGGAGTATAAAAGTATAAGATAGAGAAAAAATGATAAGATAAAAAGGATAAAAAAAATATAGAATAAATATGATAAAAGGATAAAAACGTAAGAAAGATAAAGAAGATCATCATCATCACTTCAGTGCCGCAAAGACTCCCATCTATGGTGAGTTAATGGGGGGTCGGATGTACGCAGCCTTACCCCTGTCCTAAAGCATAGAGAGACTGTTTCCGGATGACCCATGGTGAAAATCGTGTCGAAAATTGCATGAACTGACCGTTGCTTCACAACAAACAAGTGCAGACAGTTTGGTGAGTCATTTTGCTTTATTCCATCATATTCCCAAGCTAAAAAATAGTGAATCATTGGCTCCATTGCAAATGATGGAAAAAGAAAGATAAAGAAGATAGAAGGATTAAAAAGATGATAAGAGATCAATCCGCCACATGAATATCTGCCCTCCACTTTGCCCTCTCCAAAATCATACTCTCATCCAACTCAAGAAAAAACATATCACTCCTTACTCCTCGAAATCATGTCTATCTAGGTCTTCCTCTTCATCTCCTCTCTGCCTCTTCTCCATACCGCTCAACTCATTCAACATGTTCATCACTCGGTATTTTACGCACACAATCAAACCACCGCAATCGTGACTCCCGCATCTTATCATCAATAGGTGCTACTCCCACCATTTATCTAATTGTCTCATTCCTCAAGTAGTCTTTTCTAGTATGTCTAAACATCCAACGCAGCATGCGCATGTCTGCTACACTCATCTTTTGATTGTGACATTGTTTGATCGCCCACCACTCTACGCTATATAGTAATGAAGGCCTAATTGTTGTCCAATTAAAATTTACCTCCACCAAACTTGCATTCAACATACTCAGTCTTGTTTCGACTCAGCCTGATCAATCTGAAAGTCGTGCTCTTCAATGTTTGTTGTTATACTTCCAACTTTGCTTTAACACTTGATTGTGTCTCATAAATCAATATAATATCGTCGACAAACATTATGCACCACAGTATATCTTCTTTAGTCGACTTCGAAAGTTCATCAATGACTATAACTAATAAGAATTTAGAGTTGGTCCTTGATGGAGTTCGATAGTAATAGGGACTAGGGAGCTCTGCAGTCCCTCCCCACACTAGTATGGGCACTTGTAGTACAACCTCATAGATATCCATGATGCTGATATGCTTACTTGTTAGCCTTTTCTAGTTAAGGTCTACCAAAGAACTCTTCGAGATATCCTATCATATGTCTTTTCTAAATCAATAAACACCAAATGTAGATCCTAGTTAGTGTCTCTATACTCTCCATAAGTTGTTTAAGAATTAATTCATACCATTATTAAGGATGTTGAGAATAAAATGGGCGCAATGAAAAACTTTGCTAGAAGCGTAATTAATAGATGCCTTGGCAATTATTAATACTATGGTCTACTTGTTTTAAACATAATCCTAACCCTCTTAGATTTATGTTTTAAATTTCCTATTTCTACTTGTTTATGTCTATTACTTCTCTGTAAAAGCATCTTAATAGTCTCTAGAAAATATGAAGTTTTACATTAAGAGTTTTATCAATAGAAGTAGTTGGTAGTTTATTATTCAACAATAATGATGTGCTCATAATGCAATTCCTTCCTGTGTTATTTTTTTATGCAGTACCTTGAAAAAATAGAATCTCTGTAATAATCTCAAAGGTTTCAGTTGGCTTGTTTCCGTATAAAAAATACACTCTTCACTGTATTGTCAATTAACGTATAATGTTATTTTGATCTTCAGTTGACGGCAAGGAAGTGGGAAGCATACAGAGTAAAGCACTGTGTCAATCAATTTTGGACCTATACATCGGGGATGAAGCATTCGATAAAAAGGCCAGAGAAGATGTTGAACTGAACCTGGTTTCACTTCTTCAAAAGTAGTCCTGTATCATCCAGGCATGCGAGATTTAGTGAGGGGGAATTTGTTGAAGTAATCCATGCATCTTTTTTTGTTTCTTTTTCTGTTTTGTGTTCTTTTCTGCCAAACATTTGTTGTATCTACTAAATTTAAGCTAAATGAAAAAAGGGTAAATGAATAGATGTAGATAGTGCTGGACTCGGGCCCGGTTCGGGCCTGGGCCCGGCCGGGCCTCGGGCCAGGAAAGGGAGGCCCGAGCCCGAACCGCCGGTGGCCGGTTCCGGTCCCGGTTCCGGGCCAAACCGGGCCGGGCCGGGCCGAACCGGCCCAATTATTTTTTTTTTTTTTTGTTCTCCTATTTAATCCCCTACCCCTCCCCCTCAACCCCAAACCATCCCAAACCACCTCAAATGGCCCAAAATACCTAATCCAACCTAAAACTTAAAAAAATTTCAAAAAAAAAAAATTAAAATCCGGCCCGGACCGGGCCCGGGCCCGAACCGCCCAGCAGCCGGGCCGGGCCGAACCGAACCGGTGGACCCACCGGGCCCCGGGCCGGGCCGGGCCAAACAGTAACTGGGCCGGGCCGGTTCCGGGCCGGGCCGCCCGGCCCGAGTCCAGCACTAGATGTAGACTTGTAGCAGAGCTATTAGTTGGTGCAATTACATATACTTGGCTTTTTTGCCCCTTCAGCCCTTCAGGACGTTCAGGTAAAATAGTTATGCAATAAATTTCAAGCGTTATAACCTTTTTAAATTAAATTAATTTTGTTTTGGTGTCACTTAGACGCCTAATTTTTAGATGAGCACATTTAATTAGGACTAAAACAAGACATATTTAAGAAATAATGACAAATATATGATTGAAATAAAGATAGTGCACAAAAATATGAGGCATTGATTATCATATTAACTCTAGTGACCATGATTGTGTTAACCCTACCACTATAGTAATTATGCATAGTAATTATAGTACTCCCACAATTTATTGTCCAAATAAGACTGCTGCTATTTATTTTCTAAAATAGTACTACGTACTAAATTAAACACTTCTAAAAAATTAACTTCATATTTTGATATACAACACAATTAAAATGTTTTGCAATTAAAATAAGAGCTAGACTAGTACTCTTGAAAAAGTAACACAACCAAGGTTGACAATTAAAATGTGTTTGAAAAAATAACTAGACTGATTTGTTGAATTTAGAGACAGTTTAGTTTGAACATACTCTTATTTTCTTCTACACTTTCTCGCTTTTCAACACTCCTCTTATTTATATCCGTACAGAATTTTTTTTATAACCATGTTTGGTAAAACCAGATTTTAAAACGCAGTGAGCTAAAAGACGTAGAAATGGTAGAATACGGAAAACAATTATTGTTGGAATTGAATAAAAAACAGAAAGAATGATGATTGAACAAAGGTCACATGAAAAGTACTTTAAATGGTATTTTTATTTTGTTTTTTCATTAAACACATGAATGAAAATCTTTTGATTGATAGTAATTGATAAATGAAGGTAAATATAATTTACCATCTGCATGAATCGCATGCCAAACATACATCAAACCTCGATATTCAACTAAAATTAGTAAAATCTGCCTGAAGTGCTCAGCACTGATCAGCCTCCCATTCCCATTAAATACACAGCAATTGCAAGAATGATTATCAATTTGAAACATACTTAATGTGCCGTTAGATGATCTCAGGAAATGCAGATTGCAGTAAAACCCTATTTACATGTTTCCCAAAACTAACTGTTAAACCGTCAGCAACTCCTGTCAAGACAAAAAAAATGCATGTCACAACTGGGCAATCTAACCACTAAAGGAAATGTAATCATATAACGGAAACCAAGTAAAACCCATCCTCCCCAGCTATTAGTAACACCGCCATTCAATAGACTTCAATGCTGAGATAAATATTTAGCTTGTTCAAATTGGGTTATATAGGCCCAAAAGAAGAAAAATGTGAGAGGAATCCATTATCTAGGATCACTTTTCTAAATACTTTGTATTTCTTATTGGTCCTCAATAAACAACTAGGATTTACAACATGAACGGTTGAGATTTAGTCACAATGAAGGTGACTTATAGGCTATGTAGTACGGAAACTCTCGGGAAAGAGTACGTTTCCCGTTTCGGAAACTCTGGGAAACTCTCGGAAACTCTTTTGAAACTCCCCAAATAAGCCCTTTTTGAGCAAATGTTGACGTTTCCCGTTTCCCGTTTCCTCATGATTTTCGCGTTTCCGTGCAACATAGCTTATAGGCTTAGGCTGCTTTCTAAGTTTGTGTACCATGGATGGATAAATCTTCAAGGAGTGTAAGGAGAAGTAGGCCTAATTTAGGATTGAGGCTTCAGTTCGAAAAATACTTTCGAGAAGTACTTTGACTCTTTGAGGCTTGCGTTAGAAAGTGCTTTTTAAAGTTATATATGTTTGGCATTGCAGTTGATACGGTAAATCTAAAAATAAATTATTTTAGTCTCAAACTTCATACTCAAAACGCAAAAGCTATCCTGGATTAGCTTTTACATTGTGGTGGCATTTGGCGTTTCAAATAAGCTTTTAGGAAAGAAGTATATTGTTTGGACTTGCATTCGAACAAATATAAGATTTTCTAGCAAATACACTTTCCCAAATGGGGCCTTAGTATTTGCTCTTATCAAGGGATTATCAATACCAGGCAACAACTATATGGACAAATCCCTTAGCAAAACATTACACACATAAAATGCATGAACACGTTAACTGCCTTATGAAAAGAAAAAAGGAGATTCAAATTCGTACTGGCACCAGAACCACAACATGTCTCCGTTCCTCAACTATCTTCCAAATTTCTTTTTTCATCCGTCCCAAAATAATCTTTCATTTCTCTTTTTGGCAAGAAATTTGTGGTTCACAACATTTATTACACATTCTTACACTTTTCTCTCTCCTCTGCACAACTCTCCACCACACAATACTCACTATCTTAGTCCCCATGCCAAATGTACTTTGGAAGATAATTTAGGGACGTAGGTAGTGCAAAAGTTGGTGACATGTCAGCGAGCGTCAGAGCTTTAATTTTCCTACACTTCAAGTATGGGGGAAGTATGACCTAACATCGGCAACATATCACTGGATGACAAAATGTTCCTGGACAACCGTGATACAACCCTAAACTTAAGTAATGCATCGTCATCCATTTGAAATATGTTGCCTATGTGTAGAGCTTTTCTATTGTACGGAGTAGTTGTTATTGTTTTCAACCATCATTTATTTTTTAGCTTAGTATATAATTCTTAATTACTCCAGAACTCATCATGTGTATACAATACCTCACTTCTTCAGTTCTTCCCCCCACAAATTATAACATTAATGATCATTATTTCAATGAAAGTTAAAACTTAAAACCATATCTAAGCAAATATTACCTTCTCCTTCTGCTTGTAGATAGCATCAATTTTCTTCATGTACTCATCAGTAACTTTCTGCAAATCACTTGACAGATCCTTCACAATGTCTTCAGAGAGTTTTTTCTCCTAAGAAGATATGTAAAGAAAGTCAAACGTAGAAGTAAAGTCTGCAATGATACATAGCAGGTAGAATCCAAGGAATAAAATACCTTCTCAAGTTTTTCGTAGGATTTCAAGGCATCTCTTCTTATATTCCTTAAAGCGACCTTATACAATATAAAAAATAAACAAAGACATAAATTTCAATGAACGACTGAGAGCAAATTACAAGTCCAGGGCAAGGGTATACCGTACCTTTATCTAATCTAATCTAAAATCTGAACGGTAGAAACTCTTAATTAAGTGAACATGCCATGCATGTGCAAAAAGAGGCAATGATGGGAGTTAAGGATGTTTTTACTTGGACTGTAATTTGCTGGTCTGGTCTGGTCTGATCTGGTCTGGTCTGATCTGGTCTGGTAAGGTCTGGTTTCTTTGTATTTTTATAACTATCCAAGTCTGGTCTGGTCTGGTCTGGTCTGAACTGGTCTGGACTGGACTGGTCTGGTCTGGTCTGGGGCAAATTACAGTCCAAGTAAAAACATCCTAAGTATAATATTGAATATGCAATGATGGGATCAAGATTAGATAATCTGAGGACCCTATATGAAGTACACACTGATCACTTTGTCTACCCAGATGCAGAAAAGAAATCATAGGAGTTGATGACAACGCTAAAGAGGATGATGACGAAAATGAAGACTTTTGTTCGAAAATCAAGAAACTAAAAAGAATATTGTGCATAAATTACCAAAAGATTTTCCCATAAAATGCAGGATAAAGAAATGGGAAGAATCCCAGCCAATCATGGTCACAAGGCAGGCTCCAAAGACCAAAAGTAGCTAACCAAGGCTGTGGATGAAATATATTTGGATCTGTTTTAAAATTGTGAGAATTTCCTGCCTAAATGGAAGTTGATCTGGTTTAATACGTTTAATCTGCTTGGCATATAACCATTTTGCATATTTGGAAATACCTTGTGGCTATCTCACTTATCTGCTCTCTTTTTTACTGTGTTCAGTTTTCTTTTTTTGAATGTTGGACATATGCCATTTTGTATCTTTGGAGGGTATGCCCTCCGGAGAGGGTTTTATTCAGATTCCCCTCCATGTTGTTAATAAAATCTTTTGTTAACAAATTCCTTTTTCCTTTAAAAAAAAAGGAGGTGGTTGGACTAAGGTGTTAGTACCTTCCCTTCCTCAGCTTGCCTGGCCACAACTTTTGACAATTCCTACACAACGAAAATAATGTCACAAAAATATGTTGCAAAAGCATGTTACGAAGTACCCACAATTAAAGGTAAATCTCTTCTCCAAATAGAAATTCGAGACTAACTAATATTAAAAACTCCAATTTGGGTCAAGCCGGAAAAGCTAAACAGAAGCTGGAACGAACTCAACCAAGTAACCAGGTATATAAACCAGAGTAGCAGAGACCACTTATGAATTACAACAGCTCGAAATATGAAGCATTAACCTCTCATGTAAATACTCCCTCTGTCCCAAATTGATTTTCAAAATAACGGTTTATGATATGGGCAGAGGAAAAAATTAATTCGTCCCTGACAATTTTTTAGTTAAAATTGTTCCATCATTTGCAATGGAGCCAAAACTCACTATTTTTTGGTTTGAGAATATGATGGAATAAAGCAAAATAGCTCACTAAACTGTATGCGCTTCTTT